CACACACACACACACACACACACACACACACACACACACACACACACACACACACACACACACACACACGTCCAGCTGAGGTCGTAATCTGTAACTGCTCCTCACCAGTGCATTAAAAGACATTTCCTGCCCAGGTTAACTCTGTTCTTTTTTTCTTAACATTTAAATATCAACAAAACAAAACCAAATCTATTTACATGAATAGATTATTAAATCCTCCTGTCTCCAGTGAGTTAATATTCAACACGATGAAGAGAGTGTATCAGCTGTGTTTCACATGCTTCTCCTCTTGTCATTCACAAATCCATGGAAGGCTCTGGTTTCAATTAAATGCCTCAATATCAACATTATGAACAGAAAGAAAGTTGCTCTGCAACCAAAATGAAGTTAATTACATTGTATATTTTATATCTATTTCATAACACTATAGATAAACTCATCTTTCTACATAATGGAACCCCAGAAATGTACAAATATGACGGGCCTAAGCTGTAGGAAGGATATTCTTTTCTCTCTCTGTCTGGTTGTATAGAGAGTGTCAAGATAAGAGACTTAATTTAGCTCATTTGTGAACAGAAACAAAATCAGCCTGTCAAGAGTGTGAGTGCTCTAAAAGGCAAGAAGAAGCAACAAAAGTCACAGCTAACTCCCACCTTTCATCACGCTCCTACACTTTTTTTTTTTTTTTTTAAATTTCCTCTTACTTCAATATTCTGTCATCCTCAGCTTATTCTGTGAAGAAGAGACACACACACACACACTTCCTATTCCTCTAATAAGGCAGATGACAGGTGAAGACAGCCTGATGTGTCAGACTCGACATAAAGGTAATTACCGACTGCTGCAGCTCCAGTCAGTGTCATCATTTGACCTAAAACAGTACGGGTGGAAGAACTGGGAGTGTTGCTGTTGAATGTCATCCTAAAATAGTACAGTAAGAGAAGTGTGCGTGCGTGTGTGTGTGTCTGTGTGTGTGTGTGTGTGTGTGTGTGTGGAAAAGCATTCATGGAAGTAGCATGACATTGAATTCGTTTGCAGCTCTATTACTCTACACACACCTGAGAGAGCAGGTTCTCCCAGGCGTGATTAGTTGAAGGCTATTTTTACATGCAGCCTCCCCCTTTCAATGCCGGTCTGTCTTTGAAACGGGGACAGGGAAGCGCTCCCGTGGGGGCAGCTTCTAGCATATTCTGGGGTTAACTTAGCACCATTAGAAAAACCTCCACGCAGGAGGGCTACCACAGAGTTGAAAAGTTGCACCTAGAAGCAGGTAGGCTTTTAAAAATCGCTCATGCACAGAGGTGGAATGTACGCATGTTGACTATGTTCACTTTTACAGTTGTTAGTAAGTTAAAATACATTGCTGTACTCTTTCAGTACTATCACTTTAAGGACTGTTTGTACATTGCAACTGAACAGAAAACGGGAGAAATGAATACTGTACATACAACCTTCATTATGTCACATGTCGTCTTATGTTGTAACAAGGATAAAGACAAGGAAAGTGCATTTATTGCGAGAGGTCATTCACTACAATCATTGTTTTTTTGTTTTTTTTTAAATCTTAAGAGTCTGCGTCACAAACATTAACAGCAAGCATTAAAAATCACATACGGCCCCCACGAGTCCTCGATGACACCCAGACTTTCTGGCGCAAGTCTGCCTCAGTTGCCATGACGACAACCACACAAAGTTGCAGCCAAGGTGATGATACAGCAGCGACACTTCAACAAGCACACCGATGATGCCAGTGATGATGATAGTGATTGATGATGATGTCGACAACAAAACACTGGGACGATGGTGGGCGTTTTTGCTGGCTGAAAGACACAGACGGGCGAAGGAGGGACGCTGCATCCCGGGACACTTCCTGAGACCCAGAGTGACCTTTTAGTCAGCGATGAAGTGTACAAATGTAACCGGGAAGGCTCCTCTTCTCATTGGATCGCCATCGATATGGCCCAGCTGTGAAGAGGGGAGACACAGGCGGGGTCAGAGGATGATAAAGGGCAGCTGGAACCCAAAATATTTTCAGAATGATGGCCAGTCTGAGCTCGTTTGGGTGGATGTAATTTCACTAAGACACCAAAAACATTTGACTAATCTCACCAAAGTAAGTAATCTAAAGCACAAAAACACAAGTAAATGCTGGGACTAACTAAAAAAGCTTCTAATTAAGTGTGTGTCCAAGGATTCAATCTTGATTCCTGAAATCCCAAGATCGCTTTTTGCCTCTGTGCCTTTCTCTGTGAATTCGTGTACATCTGAGTGTGATAACTAATGATGGTACAGTTAGGGACGTATAATACGAAAAATGTCTACATCGTCGAAATTGACTTAGTACACGATGAGAAAGGTTATTTTCAGTCAAAAAGTAACGCAAATACACCTGTTTATTTGTGGGATAAAAATAATACATTTATTTTATCCTCAATTTATCAACAATTAAAGTTTTCAGGATAAATTGAGGCAAGTGCTTTTGTATTTCTGCAAACCTGGTATCTATCTGATGTAAACCATACTTGCGGAATCAAATCAAAATGAAACAAATTAGGACATTCTGAATCAAAATTGAATTGAATCGGGAGATCAGTGCCAACATCTATCCCCACTAAACACCATCTAAAAAGGAAGTCTTACAGTGGACCTACTAAAAGAGGCTAAATCACAATAACTATTTCCATAATACATTCAAAATGACTTTCCTATTACCTTACAAGAAGACAGTACTTATTATGTCCATTTAAGTAATTTTAAACATCTTCTATACCTGAAAAACAAAAAGCTAGGACATGTTTCTGCTCCAAAAATTTCTGTACAAGGCTGAAAGTGAAACAGAATAAGCAACGGTGTTATTAAGTGTTGATCTAGTCTGATCTAGGTATGACCCAAAGCACATCAGGCATCATAAACACTGTTTCTACAAACGGAAAAATATCCTTCTATAATTTATGTTGATTCTCTTTTTGAATATTTTATGGGAAAGAAAGTCAAAATGAAACTTTGCAGCTCGAGTCATACAAGAAGTCTGTTTTCCAGCTACGAGACCAATTTGACCTCCAACTAAAGCACCACAGTGACACTCGTTACAGCTGATTTCATCCCGTTTGTGCTGCCTCATCACTGTGCTTTCATTTCAGTAACTGAGACACTAAACGAGTGATAACGCTTCTGATTGCAGGACAGAGAGGAAGAGTCGTGGGGACCTCAGGGGACTTTGGGTCCATGCGGAGAGAGTGAGTGACTAAATACGGTCATATCTGCAGAGGTGGCTCAGAGGAAAACAAGTTGCAGCTGGTCGATGTTCACACAAGGGGCTCCACAGAGGAAGCAACAGCAGGCGGAAAAAGAGGAGGAGGACAAGGAGGAGGAGATTTGAGGGGGTGGAAGGGGGGTATCGGCCAGAATGAGGTCATGGCTTTTTTGCTTTTAGTCTCCATGGTTACTGAGCACATCCACATGGTGAAAATGGGACCAGAGTGGGACATTGGAGTTGAACTGGGAGCACTTTGTGCTTTAATCTCAGATCATATGCAAGCATCCCGTATACGAGCCTCTACAGCAGGAGAGATACTGACCCACCACTCCTGGTCCTCCTCTCCATCCACCACGATCACCTCGCCCTCAGAGAAGGTCAGCTCGTCTGGGTTGTCCGCTACACAGTTGTAGATGGCTTTCACTCGCTTCGGCCTCTGCTTCTGAGAGACGAAACGAAGCAAACTGGTTTTATCAAGTGCGGGCAGCAACACAGTCAAGGTCAGTTCTGTCACACGTTTCCTTTTGTTCCTTTCTCTTTTTATTTCTCTTATACTTTTTGGATGTTTTTTTTTTTTTTTACTTGTGATTTTAGGACTTTTGAAGGCTGAATGACCAAAATTGTTTTGTCTTCTGTAAATGAAGTGACTTCTTGTTCTTGAGTGCGACCCTTCTCTGTCATGTGGATAATGCAGTGATTTTTCTGGCCGCGGTGAAAACTCAACTTAAACTCTTATTTATATGTTCATCCATAATTGGTGATAACATGTAACTGGCACAGCACAGGCTCTGACACAAGGGCACAAAAAGCAGACAAAGTAAAAGCTGCTCTAACCCTAAGGTTCTCCACTGGCTGACAAACTAAAATAAATGTCACTGTTATTTGTTATTGTCTTAAAAAACGTTTTAAAAACTGTAAAACAGAGATACACAGCTTCTCTACAAAAACTGTGAATGAAGCTCTTTGCATGAGCACACAGTAAGAGTACGGGAAGGAAATTTACTGCCTAAGTAGACACTGGAAACACTGAGACAATAGGTCAACCCTACACAGGAGGGAATTACACAACACTAATAACAGAATAAACCATGACTTGTTAAACCTGTGGCCAATGATTCAGTACAATAGTATCAATGAATAAGCACTTTACACCCTCGCAATATCTGGTCTATAATGAGAGGAAGAATGAGCGACTCACCGGGTAGGCCTTCCTCGGCATGGGGGCTGGAGGCAGAGACTGACCTATTGAGTTCTGGGGACATCCTGGCACTTCCTTAGCTGGAACAGGAAGAGGAAATTATATCACAACGACAACTAAACTTTCCACGTTTCCACACAAGAAACAGGATCTGACAGATAGTAAAACAACTTGTGCTCAACTTTCTGAACACTGGACCGTCGCAGATTAGACAGAGTCGACGTTCCACCTCTCTTATCTATTTACTCACCTGGTCTTTCGATAGACTGTGTTCGATTTAGAGGTCCTCTGTTGAAGCTTTTATCATTGCTGAAAAACAAAAAGAATGTAAAAAAAAAAAAAAAAAAGTAGCCTCATTAGCAAAGTGATAGTCATATGAAATCTAACAGAAAACTGTGCAGCTCTCTAAGACTCTCCAGAGCAGATTTATTGCAGCACTATCAGCCCTGTGGGAGATAAAAAGACAAAAGAGCAACTGTGGAGGAGAGTTATTGCTCGTCTGTCTCGACACAGAGCTTAGCCTGGACTCTAATGAAGCGACTAAACAGCAGACATGTAGGCTCAGTCCTCTCGGGGAAACAAACAGCACATTACAAGACAAGTGTTCACAACGGCAAGACACACAGCCCCAGGCTAATGCAAGATGTTCCTGTGTGTGTGTGTATTGAATTATATGAATCAGTTGTCTTCCAGTGTAAGCTAATGAAGCTATCACTAAACTCATTCTGGCCATGTTTCTGTACATGATGACATTTCATTTACAACCGCAGACGTCTCAGATCTGAAACACCTTGTTAATTGTATATTCATACATGTGTTTTTATATTCTTACCCTGCGGGTGATTTGGGTGGCACTGCTCTGGACCCCAGGGGCCCCTGGACTGACTTGGACTGTATGCTCAAAGCTTCCATCTTTGCCACAGGAGGACACAGACCTGGGACACATAGTAACACACCTCACTTACTTTAATCCGTTTCATATTGTTGTACACAGAATATTTCTGAGGTTTCTTGACTGTTCACTTGACCTCACAGTGGGGTGTGGTATCACGTGGTTATTTCCTCATGCTCAATAATTAATCAGGCTCCACCCAGTATTAGTATGGTGTTCCTGATAAAGAGCGTGGTGAAAGTATATTCTGCATCCAATCATTTTCTTATACAAGTACCCTTTGCAGGGTCACTGGGTAATTATATCATTATCAATTATTATCATTTTGGTAAAATGATGTAAAATGAAAATTCTTTAATTTGTAAATTATAAATAAACAAAACTCAAAACCGGCACCTGCATGAATTTACAGATGTGAATTTATCCCTCAAGGACAGACATAAACAGAGGAACGACTTTGAATCTATGACTACTTTCACTTTGGAAAAGGTTTAGTTGGAGGGTGAAGAAGGGGTGGAGGTTTGTCCATACCTCCAGTTGAGGTAAGTCTCATCGGGGGGACAGGAGGATGCATGTTGGGGGGGTCTGAGGACGACCTCTGTCGCCCCACCATGTCTGAAGATACTGGCTTCCAGCTGCTGGACACTGGGGACTGACTGAGCCCTCCCAGACTGGATAACAGGACTGAGGGAGGGAGGGAGAGAGAGAGAGAGAGAGAGAGGGAGGGAGCGAGAGAGAGGGAAAGAAAAGAGATTACTGAGAGGGAAGGGAGAGAGAATGCATCGCACTTTGCCAAAACCAGTGTCCACTTTAAAAGTTGTTTCCATTTGAGTGTAATTGAGAGCGACATTTAATGGGGAGAGGGAATGTGCAGAATGCCGAGGCTGGGGGCTGCGGCGAGGTGAGGTGGGCAACACAGCTGGTTGTTTCTCCTCCGCTCTCTTGGCAGCAGTCCAGGCAGCCGCTAATGTTATTAAAGACTGACTGTGGTGGACTTGTCACAAGCCGGTTAGCTTAAAGAACTACAATGAGGTTTTTTTTTTTTTTTTTTTTTTTTAGCAGAGCATAAACAAACTAAAACCTTTTAGATTGTTTCCCCATCAAACAATATCCCACCTTTTTAAGAACCTGTCTTTTTCATAAAGTTGAATGTGGCTTCCCAAACCACTTCTTTCCAGCATGAAAAGAAATCCTGCCCTTTAGATTTGAGATCATTTGAATGTACGAGGCCAATTTCCCCTTGTGAAGAGGTCAACAACTTTCTGGAAAAGCAGCCCAGCCATCTGTCTGCAATGTGACTTTTCTCTGCTTCTGTACGCAGAGACATCTGTGATGTTAAAACAGGTCAAAATGTCACTCACAAATCACAGAGTAATTAACATAAGGGCCATGGCAACAACAGACCTTCTTCAGTGAGGTTGTTCCTCTGGGGCATATTTCAGAAATATCATTTCCACAAGACAAAGAGGTCTGACTCAGATTACCAGATTTAGCTGGATCTTTTTGTATGTATCCCTATAAATTATATATATATATATATAAACGATATATTTTGCTATTTCTGCCTTGGACTCTTCTATTGCTGATGCTGCTGTGTCTGACATTACCCGGGTTCCTCGGGGGCAGCGGTGGAGCGGAGGTGGTGGCGGGCTGAGGCGAGTTGGTGCTGAGGATGGTGCCATAGGTCTCGTTGTTAACCAGGTTGGGCATGTAGGCGCGCTGTTTGTCCTTGGTGAGGCTGATGCCGTCGCGGCCTCCCGGGCCCAGGTTGGAGTTGCTGCTCGGGGTGTAACAGCTGACCGGGCGCTCGTCTCTGCGATGAGGGCTGGGCTGGAGGGGCATCAGAGGGTCAGTGTGGGCCAGAGGTAAAAGTATGCATGTAAGGATGTGAGACTGGTGATTGCATAATGTGAGAATGTAACAGGTCAGATGTGGTTCATCAGATCATCCAAACTTCTGCCATCTTTTCTTCTTAGACTTGCCTGATTTATGAATCTTATAATATTTTCTCTCTACCAGTTATTAACAGACCTGACTAATCATTTTTGCAGTCTTAATTCCGAGCTGAGATCTTGTAAAATCACGTTTTATCCAAACTGACTAACATTTCCAGTTTCAATGAAAAATTTATCAAAGGCAATGCATATTTTTTTTTAGCTCTCAGCTTGCCTGTATGAACTGCAGAACTTTTCTTCAAAACAAGTGGGTTTTCTCACCCACTTGTGCAGCACTCTCTAAACTCTGCTTTTTCCAATGACATCTTCATAAATACTGTATTATAATCTGTTCTCACACAAATGTCACTCACCTTCTCATCCAGATCTTCGTCACTCTCATCCAAGTCTTCATGCTGTAGACACCATTCATACTCAACGTGGACGTGGGCATTGAATTTCCCTGCCAGAGCTTGGCTCAACTATACATACAAACAAATCCACATACACACAAACACAGATGACTGACATGGTTTCAAGGAGTGATGTGTTTGCAGGAATAAGCCGAGTCCAAACATAGTGAGCTCACCAGTTCCTCACACTGTAGGTGTTTTAGCCTCCGAGCGATATCCAGTGGTGTCTCCCCGGCCTCATTAGCTGCAGGGGAAAACACCAGAAACATATAATCACTGTTGTATCCACATGCCACATGAGCACAAAGACACAGCCCGTTTTCTTTAATCCCTTTTCGCTGTGACTTGAGAAATGTGTAATTAGACCGTTTCCCACACTGAATAACTCTCTGGCCTCTCTGTCCTCCTTCTCTATCTATCTATTATCTGGTTGTGTTGTTGATGTCAGAGCGGAGCAGGAAGATTAGTGGTGTGAGAAGGAGTTGCCATGGTCTTTTGGTAAAGCTCGCACGTCTGGGAACTAAACCTGACAGACTTGGACTAAAGGGTGTTTGTGTGTATGAGAGTGAGAGAGGATGAGAGGCAGTGAGAAAAACAGTGGTGGAAGAAGTACACAGACCCTCTACTTCAGTAAAAGTAGAGCTCAAACTAAATTTTTAAAAAAGTACTTAAACCAGATGTACCTATATGTCATATACATTACATATGTAAATAGCACTATGGGATTATTGTCACTGATGCAATAACTATGTATTCATCACACAAACTAGTTTTCATGTAGGTTAGATATTGTTATCAGTGAATTATTTCCATCTAGCTACTAACTGCCAGATGTCACAGCTGGCTAACTGAACTAATGTTAAATAACTCATCTGATCTGACATTCGATCGAAATGCTGTTTAATCATAACATGAACTTTTACATGTTACGATTTATAAAAGACGTAATATCTCAAATTTCAAAAGCTAACGCTAATGTTGTTAAAACTCACTCTTAATTACATGAATAATACCAACTGTCTGAAACACTCATATTTCTCCATGATTCATAAATAAAAGCAACATTTTTCTGATCCATTTCACTATTATTTAAGTCTTTACTAGCTAAGACAATAATGATGCAGCCAGTAGCTAGTTAAATCACCACTAAACCACCACCACAAACTAAGCTAGCAGCTATTAAGAACTTAGGACAGTTTTAACATACAAACTTGTGATGGATTTTTCAATAAATGGTGAAAACGAATCCAGGTGTGAGAATAAAAAAAAAAAGAGACATAAACAGAAAAAAAGAGGAGGAAAGAGGTGGACAGTGAATGCAACATGGCCGTCCTGTTCAGTGCTGCTGTGTTTCCTTACCGATCTCTATGGAGGCCTTCCCCCGCAGCAGCAGTTTCAGACACTCGCTGTTGTCGGTCAGGCAGCAGTAGTGTAGCGCTGTGCTGCCTTTAGCTGTCTGCTTATCCAGATTCAAGCTGTTAGGGGACACAGACAGAGAGGAAAACTTCCAATCACAACACTGGAGGCAATATATGTGAATATGTAATATCCTCCAGCAAAAAATTTTAAATAAGCTTTGTCCAGTTTTGTGTAATAGGTAAAATATTTATGAAGATTTGTATTAACTATAAATCAGAACACAGCTCTATAAAAAGAGGGAATAACAGACAGGATGAAAGGCAAATAAATGCTTAAACAAATCCCTTCAATCTAAAGAGAGAATGATGAAAAAAGGAGAAAACATAAATATCAATAACCTCTGGCAATAGACAAACAGCCCCTTATATTTGAATTTCAATTACATGTGTTAAGAGGCATCATTCCTCCAGTCTATGTCAAAATAAATCTTTTTTTGGTGGTATTTTCAATGTTTCCTGCGAAGTCGAATGGAAAGCCAAAACCCTTTCCTGTTTTTTTGCATTCTGTCAGTAAAAAATATCTGAAGTGAAGCACGAATGCATAGTTGCCCACTGTTTTCTTGCTTTGTTAACCTGTTCTGAGTGAGGAAGTCCACGATGTGAAGAGATGTTCTATCCACCAGTCTGACTGCGAGATGAAGGGCTGTCTCCCCTTGTTCCTGAAATCAAAAGATAAAACATTTGCATGAAACCGCTGGGAATGCGAGGTGCTAGTGGAGAGTCAAGTCAAAAGCAATAAAGATGCTTATCATGCAATTATTATGAGTTACAAGTGAAACCCCTGGTGGAAAAACTATTAAAGTTTCGAGTATTTTGTGTACTGACGTGTCCGTTGGCCAGAGGTATGGGCTCCATGAGGTCCACTCCCTCAGCGTAGACCTGGATGAGGGAGAAAATGTCTCGAGCCTTCACTGCATCGCACAGCGTGTGGAGCCGCGACGTTGCGTCAGGACACTTCTTCCTGGCGAAACGCTTCTCTGTGTATTTGGCTGTGATGAAGTCTTTCCTCGCCTGCCTGGTGGAGGACATAATGTGGGAGGTGTGATTGTGCAGTAAAGTTGGGAATGCACCAATCAAAAGCCAATAATAATAAATGGTGAATGAATACTCTAAATTGGATCTCTGTGATCAACAGATAACCATTTCAGTGGTTGATCAAGTGTCATCATAAGTTGAAATTGCAAGAAAAAGCATAAAAAAGTATAACACATTGTTCTTCATTAAATAATGTGTTACATTAAAATAAAACCTGAAATCTATTTCTTCCTACGGTGCACATTTTGACGAACGAAGAATGAACCTCCAGTTTGCTTGGTAGCAGTGTGTCAATAAACTGGTGGAACTTTTGTTAACTCAAGTTAGATTTCTGTGGGGTTTTTTTTTTTTTTTTTTTAAACCACAATCACATATCTCAGCAGTACACAGAAAATTTCAAATTCTCCCTAAAATGCGCTTTCTTTTATTTGAGAAAAACAAATAGCAGTCCTGTTAAGAAGAGCATGTGTCAAACAGGTGCAGAGGAGCAAACACAACCACTGCTAAATGTTCCTCTTTGTTATGTCTGCAAGTCGTTCCTGCCCTTTGTTTGACATGCGACACATGGACGCGATTTGAACAGCTGTGCCGTACCGTGTTAGACGTAACACCACATGGTCCATCTGCAAATTTGTAAAAAGTATTGCACCTAAAATATGATGTAGGAAAATATGTTGATAGGTAAGCACACTAACTATACCTAATTGTTGTGTTTTAACCCTGAGCAGGCCTAAGAACACAGGACATGTATTTTGAAACATAACCGTGTCATATAATTGATTGTAACCATGTCATCATCGATACTAAGTTGGGTGAGTTCGCTTATTTGCCAATCATACAGTTTAAAAAAAGTTTCAGAAAATTCAGAAACCCTGATCAGTATGGTGTGACCAGTTGTCGGCAATGTGAGACAGGTGGGGGAGGAGGGGTATGGGGCAAGGAAGGGAGGAGGTGAAGAGAGATGGAGTGTGGAAGAGAGAGTCGGAGGGTTGACTTACATGTCACTGGCTGGGTTGGGTTTCACAACATTTTCAGCACTTAAACAAGCCTCCATGATTTCATTAAAGCCTGCATTCCCCACATTCTTGGCCAGCTGTGGAGCACACATACACGGACAGACACACACACACACACACACACACACACACACACACACACACACGACACACACACACACACACACACACACACACACACACACACACACACACACAAATTAAAACTAGTTATATGTCATTTTCTGCTCCACATCCATTAATTTAAAAGTCACCAGTTCAACTCACTCCTCTATCAGGATGAAGTGCAGACTCTATGTATGTGGAGCCTTATAAACTGCACACCACCCGTCTGATTGTGGCTAACACGATGGCGTCTTAACACCAAGCAATCATGACTGCAAGCATTTAATCCTGACCGTCCCACGGGCAGTAAATCTCTTCGCCAAACCGTGATTAGAAAAGCCAAACAAAATCTCAGCTATTCTGAGAAAGGAGACTTCCAGAGGTCTCAGAGAGGACGAAAATGGAGGCCAAGAGTGATTCTTTTCACCTTCCTTCTCCCCACTTTCACCTCCTGTCTTGATTTACTGTCCTTCTTTCCTCCTCATTCCTCCTTGCCCGTTCTAAATTTTATCCTGCCTAAAAGTCTCCAGAAAGATTTGTATGGAAAAATCAATACAAGAGGATGACGCAAACTTCGAGAAAAACAGGGGATGTGAGGTGATTCAGTGAGAAGACCAGACGCCTAAAGTGATTTACCAAGAGCTCTGAGGTGCTGAGTACATCCAGAGTGAGCGACTGGATCCTGGAGTAGTGGACTCCCAGCTCTCTGTGGATCCCCGAACATTCAATACAGGTGAGGATGCCGAGGTTGGTGGACAGCCACGTTGGGTCTGAGAGACAGAAAAGACACGCGAGGGAAAAGAGGGAGAAATTAATATTGGTGACACACTGTCCTTGAGCAAAAAGCAGTAAAGCAAGAAGACATTTCTGGAGCATGTGAGCCAACTTTGATGTTTCCTTGCGGAAAGCTGTGGACTCTGGAAATTTAATAACTGCCTGAAGGGTTTACCGTCACATGGCAGACAATGTCAGAGGAAAGTGACCAAGCCAAACTGTAAGTCTGGCCTAGATACACAGTATGTCTGGGTATATGTGTATGTCATATACAGCACATTAAAGTGCATATATTTCTGCAGGAGGAAATTTTATGGGACTCAAGAGAAATTACTGTGGGTGTATTTGAAAAAAAAAAAAAAAGATTTGAGTCGTAATAGTAATATCTCCACAAATAAAGAGGATCTGCGAGAGTTTTATCATTTTCAAAACTGGGGACTTTAAGGACTATACCAGTGGTTTTGCATGCTTTAGTTCATAACTATGCACATAAATCACTGCTAACACTTTCCCAACGCATAGCACAAATTGCTAGAACGATTTCCCATCTTCCAGGCAGCAAATCATTTCTGTTTATTTGTTTCAGAGACTTGAAATTAGCTTTAAGCTTCAGCGGTGACGACACTTCATTACAACTGTTGTTACGGCAATGCGGCGGTTGTCATTTGGGCACATTTGAGGGAAATTCTTTGGCACAAGTATGATGGTGGCAGACTTGACATTTGGGAACAACAGCCTGGCACAGACTCATCGGGCTGTGGCAGGAGTGCATCCAGGTATGTTGTCCCGTCCTGCAGCCTTGCAGGGGTTGACCCTGGACCGGGCCCAGCCTGCTCATCGGGCTGTGGCAGGGCTTTCAGGGCAGGCGTGCTGTTCGGGATTTCACAGCATGCATAGAAATCATTTAGCTGGTGTGGGAGGGAGGGGTTCACTATCACAGACCTGTGGCGGGACTTTGTCGTCCGTGATGGCCTGGATTCACTGCCACCGGTGCCATAATGTCTCTGCTGTCTGTAAAGTGGGCGTTGATGTTCAGGTTGTACTGGCATTTTGCTCTTGAGTCCATGGAAGAGATGAATTCTTTCCTTGTGTAACATGTTACTCTTTTCCTAGGATTTCTCACCATAAATGAAATTTGATTTCAACCACAGAGCTGTGGATAATTACTGTTAGAAACTGACCGATCCTGTCCCAGTGTCAGGAGATTTAAATAATTAATGAAGTTACGGTTGCTGTGCTATCATGAGAAAAATGTGAACAGCAACTCTTTCACTTTGGAAACGCACATGTGCTTCCAGCTGCTGTGTAACGGCCACAGGTAATTAAAAAACCACAGTCCTACCTACAAACAGGTGTGGGGAACTAACAGAACATTAACTTAATAAAGACAAGAGTTGGCGTTGCTTTCCACTGCTGGAGACAGCTCTCAGTGAGTAAAGGAAAGAAGTTTGATGCTGAATTTGCAACGTTTCTTCTAGCCTGGTAAGTAAACAGCTGTTAATGCTAACGTTATCTATGTAGCCATAGCAAAACTTACAAATAGTTCCTTTAAGGTCAGAATATAGTTACAACAGTTACGTGACAGTATTAATGGGGTTTGGAGGAAGCATCTTTGCTTCAGTCCATTGTATTTATTACATGAACACACAGACATGCACAAGATAAAAATCCCAGGTTCCTTCAGGTATTTCTCCTGGGAAATAGGAACAGATTTAGTCAGGGATCACATTTCCCAGGTTCTAACTTTGACAAGGACTATTTTTTTTAAGTTCTCAGAAATCAAACTTGAAAGAACAAACAAGTAAACGTGGTTCTAATGAGAAAACAATTTGAATTTGGTTATTTCCTTGCATTAAATAGGTTACTCCAGAAACAAGTCCGCCATGTGTGTGCAAATTGATTTTCAAACCACAGTGAAATAAAGTGGTAACTAACTGCTGCCTGAAAGGTAGAAAAGTGTCTTTTTGTCAGCACCAATCATTTAAAGATCATATAATTCGTTTTGATTCTGTGCTGTCAGTCTTATGTGAGGTGTCAGTTTTCCCATCTATCTTTGCCACTCACTGGGCGCTCCGCAGTCACAGCACACGTCATTTCCCGTCATCCTCTTGACTTCTCCAAGGATTGCCTTGGTCAGCTCCTGCACAATGTTGTTCTCCCCAACATGCTGGTCCCCTTTAAAGGCCTGATTCAATGCCTCCTCCTTACTGTTCTGCAGCACCGAGATCCAGCTGGAGGAGGGAAGACACGAGACGAGACAGGAGGGAGGGGCGTTACAGGAGATGTGAGTAAGATAAGAGTCAGAATAATGAAAGAGAAGGAGGAAAAAAGTAGAGAGGGGAGAAGGGAAAAGTAGGCTGAGAGGTGGGGATGGGAGCAGCCAAAGCAGAAAGAAATGAGAGGAAAAATGGAGGGAGTGCAAGTAAAAGGCATTTAATGGGCAAAGAGTGGGAGGTAAAGGCAAGGCCAAGCATCTGACTGAGTGTGAGGTAGGAAGTGTCTGAAAAGTGGTTGAGGTGGTAAACAGGATGCACTCTGGCACAAGCCTTAACACACGAGGGAAGGAAGGAACAGGCACTTACATCTGACAGTCCTGGTCGTCCTCGGCCTGAAAGTGATACGTTCTGTCGTCTAAAACAGAAAATAAATGAATGAAAGAACAGAAGAGAGAAGTGGGAGAGGAAAGAGAGGGAGGGAAGGCATTAATCACAGAGCAGTGGAGATGAAGAGATTAAAATATCCCACTGACAGGTCAGACCGAGGGTGAACTCCTGAATAGAAAACAACTAAACTCCTGTAGCTCTTGTTTCTGTCTTCATTTTGGAATCACTTACTAATAACCAGGGAGACAGAAGTATTTTTACACCACTGTATCCAAGCAACGTGAATTATGTTGCGTCTCCAGTGGCTGAAGTTTCACCTCTCAATCTTACAGTCAGTATCTCTTCTTAAATACTTAAAAAAAAAAAAAAAAAAAAAAAAAGATCAATAGCTACATCTCACAGTCGTTTGATTAATTTCTGTGACAGAAGCCAAATAATTAAGAATCACAACCTGAGAAAAATGTTGCTAACAAACAATTATTTTCATCATCAATTCATTTGCAGACAATTTCAGTTAGTTCATTTAGTAAATGAAATCTCAATTGTGAAAAAAGTTTTCCAAAGACTGAAAAATGACTGAAACTATTTTAATTAATTTTCAGCCCTTAAAGTGATTATTTTGACCAATGTTTTCAGCTGTAAAGTCTTTTTTGCCACTGTTTCACTTTAATGTGTTGCAACTAAATGTTAGACTGAGGAGTGAAGAATTTGTCAATATTTGTTCTTTTTAAAATTAGCTCAGCTTCAGTTTGCTGCTACTTGCTAAATAGTTAAACATTTGAAGTCCTGCTGGCCTGCTGCTGCTGCCTACAAGAACTGAGCTAATTAAAATGAGGCATTTGAGTGCAACAACCACAGCCTGGGGGAAAAGAAAAAAGGGAAAAATGCCAACAACAGAGAGTAAAAACAAAAAAGATAAAGAAGAGAACTTATAAAATGAAAAGGAAAATAGCAGATGTGATAAAAACAGCATGATGAACTTACGTGATATGAGGTCAAAGCTCCTCTTCTCCTCGGGATTGTGTTTCACCTGGCAGGTGAGCAGGTTGAGTTTAGCTGGCGGCCTGTTCGCCTGCCAGAGAGAGAGAGAGAGAGAGAGAGAGAGAGAGAGAGAGAGAGAGAGAGAGACAGAGAGAGATGAAGCACAGAGAGGAAGGGAGGGTGGAGAAAAGCAACAACATAAATGAGTGAGAGTGTTGTGTTTAACCGTATCTGACCGCTGCCGGAGCCAAATGAAACATTTGATAAGCCGCTCTGTGTGAGACTAACTGTATTGGCGAGAGGACTCGACTGGGCTGGAGTTAAATCTTTATATGGGAACAAACAGAGTTAAGTGAGACTCAGCTGAGGCAGCGATGTGAGAGGAATGCTAACTTGTGAACCCGGCCTGTGATCTCCGCTGCTCGCTGTTAATGCATTCACGGCTAATGGGGGAATATAATGACCAGCGAGGGAGAGGGCCTGCAGCCAATACACTGAGACTAATGTGGTTAAGGTGGCAAAGAGTGTGGAGGTCAGTTCACATGTGTGTGCGTACGAGTGTGCACGATTTTTTAAAATCAGCGCAACCACACCGTGTTCAGTTGTGTTTTCACAGCACGGATGCGAGAGAGAAAAAAGCGTGATTGCTTGCTTACTGTGCCGTGTGAGATGGTGAGGTATCCGTTCTTCGCCGTGCACTTTCTCTTCTGCCAAACTTTCCTCAACCTGCAACACACAGAAAACAGTGATGAGTGCATCAGTGAACTCTTGAATTCACAGAGCAGACACATGTTTAAAAATGAGCACAGGTTACAACTGGGATTCCCATGCATTAGTTATGACAAACAGGTTGAAATTTGCTGCTTTTCTCTGATTCATTTTAATTTAAAAATGCCAAAAATTGAGTTTGGTTATTCACATGTGAATATTTCCTGGTTTTCGTATTCATTTATCAGAGTAAACTAAATATCTTTGCATATGATAAGCTACTAGAATATGTCATCTTAGGCTCTGGGAAAACATAATTGTTATGTTTTTTGTTTTTTTTTCTCATTCATGTATTTTTCATTTATAGACTAAATAACTAATTTATTAATCGAGAAAATAGTCAAAAATAATCATTAGTTGTAGACTAATTTGGTCAAGACTCCCTTTCTGCTTTGAAAGGACTTGTATTCTTTAGAAATTTAAAGCTTGTCATTCAATAAAAAACATTTATACACACATTTACAGTGTAATTTTTTCAACTACAACTGTACGATCTGATCTTTGTACTTAATTTTAAGAAAAACTCACCCGTCGCTTTTCTTGTAGAGATACCCACTGCGCTCTGTGCCGTGCTCCTTGTTGCCCTGTGGCTGGTGCAGGCTGTAGGTGGTGCTCTGCCTCACCTGTGAATCCTGGGAAAACACACACACACACACACACACACACACACACACGAGCAAATAGAGAAGAAAAATCAGAGCTGTTACACAAATAATGAAACGAAACAAAAAGCAGTTGCTGCACGTGGCTCTGATTCTCCTGCTCCTCAGAGAATTTCCAGGCAAGTAT